TAAAGATATAAATATATATATATATATAAGTACATAGATATAACATATATAACGTTTACACTGTGCATCCAAGAACGTATCCGCGTATATCTCTATCTTTCTCCCGCTCACTAATTCTCCATTATAATCTCTCTTTGTCCTACCTTTACTCTCTCTCTCTGTCTCTCTGTCTCTCTTTCTCTCTCTCTCTCACATTCTCTCGCGCAGCAAGCAAGCTTCGTGGGATCGATGGCGGTCGAGCGAGAAACTCACCGACGTTTTCTACCTTACGAATCGTGACCGAGTTATGAACGGAACAGAATAAAAGGACCACCAGAATATTTTGGAAAATAACAATAAAGAAAGAAAGAAAGTGAGAGAGAGGGAGAGAGAGAGAGAGAGAGAGAAAGATTTTACCCTTCCATTCTTTTTTCTAATAACGAAGAGAAAGAGAAAGCAAACACATGATGAAAATATCGTCGTTTTAACAATCCCGTGTTTTGTGTTCCCGATGCCGTGAAATTAACACCCAAAAAAAATAATCATTTTGTGAAAGAGATAAAAACATATTTGTTTTTAGTACTTCTATTATTATTATTATTATTATTTGATCGTTATATTTAATAAATAAATTTGATAAACGTGTTGAAAATGTTCGATGTTTCTCGGGGGTTTACGAGGTACATTTTTGAACGTGTTGGTTTCGCGCGCGATTTTTGCTATAACGTGTAACGTGTGATATAATATATACATTCGTATATAAGTATGTATACATAGATATATACATGTGTCAGTGTTTTTTTGGAATATGAGGAGATTTATGAAGATATCATCGACTATAGGAAAGAAAATCTTACCACTGTGAATTCTATCAACGTGGACCCATTTGAGGTCTGCTAAAAACAAAAGAAAAAAAAACTTGTATTTTGTATATAATATTTTGTTTATGTTTATTTAAGGATATGCATTTGTTTGTTTTTATTCGTTCACACACACACACACAAGGATAATTAAAATTTAATTAAAATTAAACGACAAGTGCGCATACGTAGGATAAAAACGTTTTATAAATTTGTTTTATTCATGCACGGTTGTCTCGTGGTGGCCCACATTTTAAACAGGAAGGTGCTAGCCAAAAGTTATTTTCTATCTTTCTTTTTCTCTCTCTCTCTCTCTCTCTCTTCTTGTTGTTTTTCTGTTTTTACCAACTATAGAAACACCATTCGCGCCTACATCCGTGTTGTCGCATTGCGCCTTACGACCGTGTAGTTTAAACGAATTTGCCATACGAATTTCGTTTACATTCTCGTTTCGTCTTTTTTTACGAGCACTTTCTAAGAAAAAGAAAGTTTTTCTACTAATGATTCCTAAAGTAGGTAAAACTGAGAAAGAAGAAAAAACAAAACTCTGGCAAGTCTCGTTTCAACTTTATTTTTGTTTTTGTTTTTGCTATGTTTTTTCTATTCAAGAAACCGATGCTTTTTGCACAGTTATTATATAATCATTTATGTATTTGTTTATATTTGTAAATATTATTGTGTTAATGTTACTGTCTATATCACGGTTTTATTTCGATCGTACAAATACTAACAGATTTTCTATTAAATTTTTCTACTTAACACATACGTTGTATTATTCACGATCGTAAAATAATATTTATAATAAATAAAATATATATATAATTAAAATTCGCGTGTTATTAGATATGTATAACTAAAAATGAAGTATAATTGAAGTTAGATAAATAAAAAAAAAAAAAAAAAGAAAGAAATAGCACATTTGCTAGCAAGGCTATCCTTTTTATCAGCGAAACGAAAAAGGGGATGCGTGGGGATGGGAGGTGGTCTCGGAGAAGGGTGGAATATGAGATTTCAGTGTATTTACCGTGCTTATTGCTCGACGTATGTACTTATGTATCAAATAGCATCGCCCTCGTCGACATATCAAACCTTTTCATAACACACACATATATAGGAAGCATGCACGAAGCGAGACGAAGGTGAACAGGAAGAAGAATACACCCCCGACGAGCGTTGACTACCTTTCAACCGCTCGTGTATCTCTTTTCTGTGTCCTTTTCATCGTGTTCGCGAATTTCCAACTACTGCCTTTTACTTGTATCTCTCATTCTCTTTTTTTCTTTTACTCTTTTATATCTCTGTCTCTTTTCGATCTTTCACTCATTCCACCTATCTACTTTAGCAATCACGTATAAATACAGTAGTAGTATTTGTCTATTGTTCATTTTCACTCATTTCAATGCATCTAACCTATTACCATTATTTTTATGATATAATCATTGTTAATTAACATTTGCATTATTTGATAAATAATATATGAATGTGATGGAATCATTACACTTATAATCGCGAGAAAGTTTCGTCCTAAAATATTAAAATTCAAATATTACATAAATTAGATAATAATTAAAATTCTATAAGAAATCTCGTGATATCAAAAAAAAAAAAAAAATAAATAAATAAATGATGTTTAAAAGATAAGATGACTTAACTTTAAGATAATAATGATATACATCATATACATAAATACATATATACTTTTCCTTATGTCTACAACACGGAAAATATCTTAAGCCTATCACTTAAGATGTTCAAATAAGAAGGGAAAGTGAGTGAAGGGGAGTGGGTGGAATGAGATAGAAAGAACGAGGATAGAAGATGGTGTAACAAATTGTCGTAAAATCGATAAGTTGTACCAAGAAAAGTGATACTAGGTGCATTGAAGGGCGTGTCACAAAGTTTTTTTTATTTTTTATTTTTAAACGAAATTCGAGAGGAGCTCATCTTTTTTTTTTCCTCCATCTACTCGCACACCTTCCACTCTTCCATCCTTTTCTTCTTAAAAAAAAAAAAAAAAACAAAGAAAAAGAAGAAGAAGAAGAAGAAGAAGAAGAAAAAAAAAAGAAAGGTAGGAGAAAGGTTGGGAAGGAAATTGATGAAGAGGTTATAATACACCCTCCACTTCACTTTGGTTAAAGCTCTGCTCACGTGAATTACGTACAAGTATCATAATTACAGGCGGTGATTTTTGGAAGCCTTGTTAACGTGTCAGTTCGGTAAAAATCGAAGGATTTCAAAGGTTTCGATCAAGGTACGAGGAAAGAAAGAAAGAAAGAAAGAAAAAAAAAAAGAGAAAAGGGTGAGTATTAAGAGTTAATTCTTCTCACCTTCTTTACTTCGTTCGTTTAATAGGATATTCGACGCGAGGAAATAAGGGGTTGTTCATTAAACGTGTGTGTGTATGTATGTAAGGTGTAATATCGTTGGGGAAAAAAAAAGAACCTTTCTCTTTCCTTCCTTTTTTTTTTTTTTATCTTTATCAAACACACAAACATTATTTTCTTGCAGCCAATTTAAAAACTGATTTTAATTGCATTACCACGATTAAAAATCATATTTAACGTTAAAGTAAACCAAATAAAATATGTGTTTAAATGAAAAATAAGAAATAAAGAAGAAAATGTAGAAGAGAGTAGTTCATTGGTAACATTTAGTTTATAATTATGTAAAGTATATATATATATATATTATAGAGAGTAAAAAAAAATTTGTATTATTTATCGCGTTAAATCGTTTTCCCACGCTATCAGCCAAGCGAGTAAATCATATTTGCATTCTCGTTTCTACTAGTAAACGTGAGAGATATCGAAAATCCATTACGTAGCTGGCCAACAGCAAGCAGCCAGTAGCACCCAGTAGCAGCAGTAGCAAAACTAGCAGCAGGGGTAGCAATAGTAGCAATTGCAGTAGCAGGCTGCAAGAAAAATCTTGGTAAAAGCACAAACGGTATAATAAATTTTCTCTCTTGTCCCTTTAAAAATCCTCTACCATTTATGCGATTTAACGTAGAAAAAGAGTCAGCAAGGGGTAGTAGCAGCTCTATCGTAAAAGCAAGAATGGTCAAGCAAACACTTTAAGTGCGATTTAATGGCTCGTTACTCTTGAAAACTCGCGAATTCTTCTCCTTTGATAGTTTGCTTCTACACACATATATATATATATATATATATAATACATATATATATATAAAAATATATATACATATATAAGTATGTATAGATGTGTATGCATGTTTTTTACGTAATCTCACTAATAAATTATAATTTATAATGAAATAATTAATTGTTGATTTGTATCTACGCGTATTTAAGATTGAATGAATATAATCGATAAATTTGTCATTTTTCCATTCAAAATTTATCCTTTCATCCTGAAAGGTGTAAAATGGTAAAATAACTGCATAAAGGATTCATTGAAGAAAAAAAAAGATCTCAAAGAACTCCGATGTATTCGCAAATCCGAAGGTGTCGTGTACATTAACAATGCTCTTTGTAGGAGATTTTTTCTTTCTTCTTCTTCTTCTTCTTCTTCTTTTTTCAAGCTCCGTTATCAGTCTATCTTGTACCCTTTTTATCAATTGGAAAAAGAGAGATAGAAAATGGGAAAGAAGGGAATACTCGATGAGTTTCGAGTAGAATGTTTGACGTCGCGTTTGCTCGATTACAAATGTGAAATCGATCTCTCTCTCTCTCTCTCTTTCTCTTTCTCTTTCCCTCTCTCATTGTGAAGGAATTGCCGAGGCCGAACTGGTGCTAGCAAGCAAACCGACTCTCACGTTACTAAATCGATTCCACGCTCAGATAGTAGGTAGGTTCGAACGAGATCGGAGGGCCCATTCTCGTTTAAAACGAAAGAATGAAGTCTCGTTAGTCACGCTGGTAATCAAGCTTTCGCCTCGATTTTCCTCGAAATTGCTTTAGGTACCTTTCTTTAGCTTTCTCGCGAAGGAATAGAAAAGAAAATAGAGAAATAAAAAAAACTATGTAGAGAAAAAAAGTTCATTTTTAAGAAAGGGTACAATGTTAAATGGTTTTTTAGTTCGTTCAAATCAAATGAACATTTTTTTTGCTTTATAACCTTGTTTC